CTCCTCCCGACGGGAGGCCACCAAAGTGCCACCTCCAACCCCAAGCGCGGGCCACGACCACCACCAACCCCAACCCAACGAGGGGACGGGGCCACCTCCACCATCCTCATCCTCCTCCTCCGCTTTTCCCACCACCCGAGCGCCCCGGGACGGTCCCGCCGTGTCCCGTCCCCCCCCTCCTCAAAACCCCTCGGCGCAGGGGTCCGGCCACTCCGACGGCGCCAGATGTTTTCGCGACTGCACATCTGGGAACAATCAGCCCCGAGGAGCGAACACCACAGGCTCTCCCTTTCATTCCGCTAAACCCCACCTTCCCCAGTCTTTTCCCCCCTCCCCCAGCTTTTTTTTTCCCTTTTTTTTCCCTTTTTTTTTTCCTTTCCCCTCTCCAGTTGCCAGAGTGGGAGAACAAAGGGAGTACAAAAGAATTCAAAAATATTAAATTTTTTTGGCCGTTGACCAAAGGTTAAAAAAAAACCAAACCCAACCACACTTCTTGCCCCCCATCCCCCAGCCCCGTTTTCACACATAAATATAAATATTAAAATATCCCTTTTTCTCCAGTCTCTTTCCAGGATGGAAAAAAAAATACGCGGTTTCCTTTAGATGTGAAGGTATTTTTAGACTTTTGGAAGCGGTTTAAAAAAAATTGACTACACCGGTTGTCAGGCTGCAAAGATGGGGGGGTCCCCTCCCCTGTTCAGCACCCCAAAAATAAGGTGGGTTTTCCTGTTTTCCTGAGATTCAAAGGTTGCAAACAGCTTTTGCGAGCTCTCCTGCCCGGATCGGTTGAGTTTTTCAAGCGAAGTCCCCAAAATTTTGGGGGTTCAGCCCCATCTGTTCTTAGGGGGTCCCCAGCATCCCAGCCTGATGCAGGGGTACGGATGGGGGGGGTCTCTCTGCCCTGGTCCTTACCGCTCTGGGTGTTAGTGCTGGTCCTGCCCTTGCCCACCGCCTTGGTCTCTGCTTTCTGCTTTCCAAAAACTCCGAAATGAGAGTTAAAAAAAAAAAGAGGAAAAAAAAAAAGGGAAAAAGAAAAAACCCACAACTCCTACCTCCAACATGGGGGCTCCGCTGGGTCCTAATGCCACACCTGAGCCGGCCCCTTCCTCCTCCCAGACTGCAGCCTGCTGGGGGGGGGCGGGAAATAAGAATAATTTTAAAAACTTATAATCAATAAGTGTACGTCGATGTGACGGTGGGAAGGGCTAGGTTGTGGGTTTTGCCTTTTTTTTTTTCTTTTGAATTGGTTGTAAAAGCTGGGAAAGGAGGGGTTTGTGCAGCACCGAGCACGCCGGGGCGGTTCAGGCTGGGTCTTGTTGCTGCTGGAGGGTGGGATGAAAGGATCTCGGCAGGGCATTGCTCTGGGATCTCGGCTAAAACCCCAAAATTTGGGATCCTGGGATTGCAACCACCCCTCCTGATTCTGAGCCAGGCACCAGCGCTTCATCCGCCCCCCCGAGCAGCGAGGATGCTGCAACCCCGCAGCTCATTTAAAGCTTTATCCCAGGATGAAGGAAAAAAAAAACCCAAAATCCCCCTTTTCCCACCCAGGCTGAGGATGCCAGAGCAGATCTGCAGCCCCTGCGTGGAGCCAGCACTGCTGGCCGCGGGGCCCTCTTTCCCCCGGCTCACTGGCAGCTTTCCGAGGACGGGGGGATGCCGCCTGCATCCCAGCAAGGTTTGGGGATGCTCCCTGAAGCCCCCTGAGCTCGGTGGTGACACTCAGGGGATAAAATCCTGCACATTTTGGGCATTTTCAAAACCAGTATGGGAGCAAAGGGAGCGCTGGGATGGGGGGCAGAAGCCAGTGGGATGGGGATGAGAAACAGGGGGGATGTTTCACCCATGGGGTGCACCCATTGCCCCCAGCCCACAACCATGGTACGAGTGTTTCTGCAGCCAGGATGGGGTCTGGCGGCCCTAAAAATGAAGAGAAAACACAGTTTTGGAGTAGGAGGAAGAGCAGAGAGGTTTTTAAGGTGCTTTCATCCCATATTAAGTTTAATTTTCCAGTCTGGAGCATGGCTAAAACCATCCCAATCACTCCAAGCACATCAAATAAAGCTGCTGCTGGCCCCGATGCGACCCCGAAACTCAGCATCGTCCCTGTCCCCAGCCCCATTCACCTCTAGCCCAGGGCAGGAGCCACCCGTTAATAATTAACCGGACTTTGGAGAACCGAGAAAACCCTGCAAAAACACCCCGGCCCATGGGGGAAAAACAGGGTGCACCCCCTACACCTGGGGTCCTTTTGCTTTTTGAGTTGCCAAGCAAAAGTGTCTGGGAGTTGTGGGTTGGGTTTCAATGTTGTTTTTTTTAGCTCAGGAAGGCTGGTTTAATAAGTCAAGTCTTGGCTAGGATTTCAGGAAACCTCTTACCTCTGCTTGTGCCTCATTTCCTGATCTAATCCCCAGCTCCCGGAGGGCAGAGAGGCGCCGCCAGTGCTCACAGGGGTTCAGACTTTCCAGGCAGGGAAATTCCCCGCCAGAACCAGATTTTGGGCCAAGAGCCGCACTCGGAGACGCCCAAAAAAACCCCCAAATCCTTCAGTGGGTGATGCAGGGTGAGCATCCCCCTTCCCAGGCATCGGCTCTGCCCCTTTCAGATGTGGCATCTCCATCGCTCGGTTTCTCCTCCCCGAGGTTTCACAGTCTCGGTGAGGACACTGGGGGCTTTTCCCAGCAATTATGATGAATTTTTCTAGGAAATTCCAGCTGGAAAATCCTGCCCCAACGCAGGCTCCACAAGCGAGCGGTCAAGAAAATAAGTGTTAATTTATTAAGACAACGCTCACAACAGCACCATACGGAGACCGAAAGCCGTACGCCATTCTCCCGACTACATTTACACCTCGATGCGCTGGAGTGGAGTTAAAAAATAGAGATTTGGGGTTTGGGTTTTTTTTTTAATGCTACAATGGTCCTGTCTGGGAGCATCGCAAGCGGAGAGGGTGGCTGTGGTCAGTCCCCAGGCGTTGGGGATGGAGCAGCATCCTTGGCAAGCCAGGGATGGGGCAGTTTGTAAACAGTTCCTACACATCTAGGGCGGCTGTGGGGGTAGCAGAGGGTTTTTTGTTTCACAGTGAGCAGAGACGCGAGGCTGGGGTGGGCGTCCTTGCCACCAGAAGGTCAAGCATCCCCATCTTGGTGGTTTTGGCCAGATGAGAGAGGAGAAAGGAGGTGGTTTCCCCCACAAAACGGTACCGGAGTCGAGCTGGACCGTTCATCCTCTTCTTCTGGACCTTCTCCCCCCAGCTTGCTCCTCCAGCATCTCCTTCTTCCCGGCCACATGTTCACAGCTGAGGGTGCCCCCATCGGAGCCTGCCCACCACATCCCTCCTTTTACCAGGATCAATAAATAATGTTGATGTCCGAGGGCAGGCGGGCGGTGCCGGGGAGGCCAGAGGGCCCCCACTATCTCACAGCAATGGACATCTTAGTGGGGGCTTTTTTTGGGCGGCCAGGGTGGCTGCTGCTGGCTCAGCTCCTTCTCCAGACGCTTGAAGAGCTTCTTGGAGGCTTTCTTTCGGCGCAGCTTGCGGAGGCAACCAAGCAAACCATGGTCCAGGGCAGTCTGCGGCAAAGATGGGGAGGGAAGTTGGGAACATGTCCCTCGTTGTCCCCAGCGCCCACCCTGGGCTCACCTACCTCCAGCACAAAGGCAGCGAAGAAGTTGAGGGCGGCGATCCCCAGCAGCAGCAGCTTGAAATTCAAGTCATCAATGCCCTGCAGCTTCAGCAGGGTTTTGGGGAAGCCCAGTGGGTAGAGGGTCAACCAGATCATGAGGCCAAAAAGGAGAATGAGGACTACCAAGAAGAGCACTGAGGGTGAGAAGGAAGAGGGTTGAGGAGAAGGATGAAGGTTTGGTGTCTCTCTTTGTCCCCATGGCCAGCATCGTCCTCACCGTTGGTGTAGAGCGGCTCCCGAAATGGGTACCCCTTGGACATGGCAACGGCCAGGATGAGGTACTGGAAGCCCGTGATGCAGAAGAGGACTGTGTTCTCATAGTTGGGCAGGTTCTGGGGAGCTGTCACCGTGCTGTTCAGTGGCACGTACCTGAGCCGGGCAGGGGAGAAGGCAGGGGGTGGGACATGCAAGGAGAGAGTCGCAGAATCATTAAGGTTGGAAAAGACCTCTAAGATGATCAAGACCAATCATCAAAATGTGTCAACCAGTCTAAACACCAACCCCTCATTCTCCATGAGCACAAGGCTTCCAAGATCATCAAGTCCAACCATCAAAATGCATCAACTGGTCTGATCATCAGACCCCTCATTCTTCATGAGCACACAGGAGCCATTCACTGTCAAGGTGCCTGGACACATCCTTGATGCCAAAACCAAGGGTGTTGGCCAAAACCAAGGGTGAGCACCCAGGCTTTGTCATCTGTGCCATTCCTATCACCAAACCCACGTGTGGCCGGGTCCCTTACCAGCTCTGCGAGATGGTGATGAAGTAGCTGAGCACTTGCACGGTGATGAGCAAGGCCGTCTGGAGGAGGAGGCTGCCTAGCACGAGGACGCTGATCAACGCCCCTTGGGGCCGCTCCACCCCCAGCTCCTGGGCAGGACCGGTGCGACCCATCAGCACTGCCACAGTGGTGGTGATGATCAGGTCAAAGAAGAGGAACTGGAAATCACTCAGGTTGGTGTTGATCTGGGGAAGAGAAACCGCCCACTCTCAGCCATGAGGATCTGCAGGAGGGCGAGGAGAGGTCCTGGGTTCAAATCCAGTGGTGATGAGGTGACCCCAGGCATGGCAGGCACCTGGACTCACCGTGTAGAGCAGCAGGACGGACACGAACTGCACCAAGCTGTACAGGGCCATGTACTTGAAGACACCGAAGGAGGTGACCAGCGAGCACCGGCCCTCCCTGCAGAGAGAAAGACTCAGGCACCAGCCACAGCACCACCAGCTGTCCCAGAGAATCACTGCATCGTTATGGTTGGACAAGACCTCCGAGATCATCAAGCCCAACCGTTACCCAACTCTACTATGCCCATGTCTGAACTATGTCCCCGAACACCATATCTAGACGGCTTTTAAATACACCCAAGCATGAGGATTCCAGTATTTGATGACCCTTTCCATGTATTAGTTTCTCCTAATGTCCAATCTAAACCTCCCCTGGCCAACCTTGACATTTCCCATCGTCCCACCAGTTGTAGCTTGTGAAAAGGGACCCATGCCCACCTTCCTACCCCCTTCTTTCAGGGAGCTGTAGAGGGTAATAAGGTCTCCCCTTGGCCTCCTCTCCTCCAGACTAAACAACCCCAAGTCCCTTAGCCGCTCTTCATAAGACTTCTCTCTTCTTAGGACCCTCTCCAGCCCCTCAATGTCCTCCTTGTCCTGCAGCACTCAACACTGAACCCAGCACTCAAGGTGCAGCCTCACCAGTGCCCAGTACAGGGGCACAATCACTTTCCTGCTCCTGCTGGCCACACTATTCCTGATGCAGGCCAGGATCCTGTTGGCCACATCGGCTCACTGCTGGCTCATGTTCAGCCACTGTCGACTAACACCTCCAGGTTCTTTCCCACCAAACAGCTCTCCATCCCCAGGCCTGTAGCGCTGCATGGAGTTGTTGTGACCCATGTGCAGGCCCCAGCACTCGGCCTTGTCGAAGTGAGGATACAGAGGCACCTGTGAGACCCCTGCCATGGCTTTTACCCCCCCATGAAGGTCCTGGCAGCTCACCGGATGACAGTGGGCACGCATTCAATGTTGCCCCCACGGGAGGTGAAGGGCGAGGCCACTGAGGCCTCAGCCTCTGACAGCGAGATGCCCACGTCAGCTGCCTTCAGGGCCCCGCAGTCGTTGGCGCCGTCCCCACACATCCCCACGCAGTAGCTGCAGCAAGAAGGTAGCCAGAATTTCACCATGTGACAGGGTAAAAAACCCTAATTCTTCAAGTTTGCACCTCCCGTATTTTGGATAACTCCACATCTGGAGAGGCCAGGAGGTGATTTCACAACTCTAGTACATAAGAGAAGCCTCTGGGTGGAGGAAGGAGCCACTCGTCCTCCTCTTTTCCCCATCTCTTGGGGTAGAGGGTCCTTACTCGAGGTCCTGCAGGCCGCACACCAGCTGGGTCTTCTGCTCAGGCGACATGCGGGCGAACACAGTGGCTCGGATGAGGATCTGCCAAGAGGGGAAAGGCTCCGCGTTCGCATCCCACATCCCTGCACGGGGTCACTTTGAGCATCTCACAGCGGCAAAAATAACCTCAACCCCAAAACCACCTTAATTTTTTGTTTCAGAGCTGGAAGGCCACAGCACGAAGGGTTTCCCTGCATGGGACTCACCTTCGGGAGGAGGTCGGGGAAGTGCTCGCAGACAACAGCGAAGGATTTGCCGTTGAGGGCCAAGTGGCAGGGCCAAGGCGGGGGGAAGCAGCCGTCCTGCTGGGGCTGTCCCTGCCAAGGAAAACAATGCTGCTGGCTTCAAATCCCCTCCAAGCCACCTTAAAATCCGCCCTTCAACCCGCGCGGAGCGGGAGGTAAAGCAGCTTCCGTAAAACTGCAATTTCAGGCAGATAAATGATGTTTTTTTGGATAAAAAGCTTGTGTGAGTGAGCCTGGAGCAGGACAGTGCTGGCTGCATCCTTTCAAAGCATCAGCTCCAGACGTGCTCCTGGAGAGAAACCAGAGCCAGTTTTCTCCCAGAGTGGCAAAATCCCACCTTTAATTACCTCTACAGATAACGACGCTGGGAAAAGAGCATCCTGCAAGATGACTAGCGCTTTGGGCTTTATAAAGCTCCACAAAATGTGGTTTCAGGACTCACCTCCGGCTGCTCCTCACCCTGAGAGTGCTCAGCGAGGATGAATTTGAGGGCGGCGGGTTTGTCGTGGCCGGGCGGGGAGGCGTTGACGAAGACCACCCGCTCCTTGGGCCCCACCATGCGGCAGCTGCGGGCCACGTTCACAGCTGTCAGCATGTTGTCCCCTGGCAGGAAGAGGCGATGGGGGTTGAATTGTGGAATTCCCTTTCAATGTTTCAGCAGAGCTGGATTTCTGAGAAAATGGCAGTGTTTGCTTTGGGGAACACAAGTGGATATTGGAGCTCTGGCCGGGATGGATCTGTTTTCCTGATAATAGCTGATAAGGTTATTGTTTTTGTTCTCACTGGGGAGCAGGACAGTGCTGGCTGCATCCTTTCAAAGCATCAGCTCCAGACGTGCTCCTGGAGAGAAACCAGAGCCAGTTTTCTCCCAGAGTGGCAAAATCCCACCTTTAATTACCTCTACAGATAACGACGCTGGGAAAAGAGCATCCTGCAAGATGACTAGCGCTTTGGGCTTTATAAAGCTCCACAAAATGTGGTTTCAGGACTCACCTCCGGCTGCTCCTCACCCTGAGAGTGCTCAGCGAGGATGAATTTGAGGGCGGCGGGTTTGTCGTGGCCGGGCGGGGAGGCGTTGACGAAGACCACCCGCTCCTTGGGCCCCACCATGCGGCAGCTGCGGGCCACGTTCACAGCTGTCAGCATGTTGTCCCCTGGCAGGAAGAGGCGATGGGGGTTGAATTGTGGAATTCCCTTTCAATGTTTCAGCAGAGCTGGATTTCTGAGAAAATGGCAGTGTTTGCTTTGGGGAACACAAGTGGATATTGGAGCTCTGGCCGGGATGGATCTGTTTTCCTGATAATAGCTGATAAGGTTATTGTTTTTGTTCTCACTGGCAGATATTTACATTTTTCAAGGTTTTGCCTGTACTTGCAATTATAGTTTATTTTTGTTTGTTTGTTTGTTTGTTTCCCTTCTCTCTGTGTAAGATAAAGGGGGGGAAGGGAGAGCCTGGGGACTCTCTGGGACAGGGGATTAAGGACAGATGATCTGGGTCTGATCCAAGCTGCCCAATAAAGGTCTATTCTATCCCATAAACATCACCCTCACTAGAAACTGGGGAGTTTGCAGGGAATGACCCCTTCAACCCTTCTTCTTCTTCACTCCTTTGATCCCTCCCTTTTCCTCCGTGATGCTGTCCATCTCAGTTCCTGAGGCTCACCCCTCCCTTGTCGCGTTGTTTGTAAGCCAAGTATAACTTTGACTGCTTTACTATCACTGTTCCTATTCTTGTTACAATTAATTTGCATTATTACTATTTAAGCTTGTGTTGTTTTAATTATTAAATAGTCTGTATCTCAACTGACAAGTTCTTTTACTCGCCTGATTCTCTTCGCCACCACACCAGGGAGTGGGGGAGAGATGAGCGAGCAAACTGTGAAGTGTTTTAGCTGCTTGCTGAGTTAAACCACGACAGGGTTCATGCTGCACCCATGAAAACACACACAGATAGCACGGACGCACAAAAACCAGGGTCCAGGAGGCCTGGTCGTGCCTCCCAGCTGTTTCAGGCCACCGATTTCTGGTGGAGAAACCCTTCAACCCTCACACAATGTCAAGAGTCACCCACGTCCCATCTCATCCCCACGGGAGGGTCACCTGTCACCATGATGGGTCGGATGTTGGCGCTCCTCAAGAGGTGGATGACAGGCGCAGATTCTGGCTTGAGGACGTTTTTCATGACAAGGAAGCCCAGGAAGGTCAGGCTGCTCTCCACGGAGTCCCTGGTGGGACACAACGAGCCGTTCGACACCGTCTTTACCAGGCAGAGCCGATCAATCGGTATAAAAAGCCAAAAATCCATGCTTTAGTACGGGGTAGGGTTTAACTCCTTGCAAGCTGCAGGGCATCCTGCGAAATGCTTAGAGGGAAATGTGTAAAATAAGTTTGTTGGGACCAACCTCTGGAGCTGCTGAGCCTCCTCGAAGGTGGTTACTGCGCTCAGCGGTTTGGAAGCCAGAGCCAAGACGCGGAAACCATCTGTGGTGTAGTGCCGCAGCATCTGGGAGAAATCCATGGGCACTGCCAGCACAAGGGAAAAAGCAAGGTTGGTAGAAAAGCAAACTGAGGGACAAAGCAAGGTGAGCCTGTGCAAACCCCATGAGGGAAACCAAAACTCAAGCTCCCAAAGGACTGAAGGACTTCGGATGCTCGAACTGTCTTCTATCTCCTATTTTCCTCCCCTGAGCTAATCGAGATCAAAGCCGCCATGCTGCCCCATGACATTGCTGTGGGACAAGCTGCAGGGATGCGGGTGGATGAGGGAGCAGACCCCTGTCCCCCATCATGTACCCGTGTCCGTCCTGCAGAGGCTGGCCACCATCTCCGGTGCGCTGAAGGACTTCGGATGCTCGAACTGTCTTCTATCTCCTATTTTCCTCCCCTGAGCTAATCGAGATCAAAGCCGCCATGCTGCCCCATGACATTGCTGTGGGACAAGCTGCAGGGATGCGGGTGGATGAGGGAGCAGACCCCTGTCCCCCATCATGTACCCGTGTCCCTCCTGCAGAGGCTGGCCACCATCTCCGGTGCGCCCTTGGTGTAGGCGTGGGCTGAGGCTTCTCCGGGCAGCTTGGCCAGGACACTCATGCGCTGCAGGGAGGAGGAGAAGGGGAAACGTCGGAGGATCCCCACGGGTGACTGGTGCTTCTGTGGAGGGAAACGAAGGGGTGGGGTGGCAGACGCTTCTCTGTGAGGTTCACCCTTTTTTGAGGGTGCAGACCCAGCAACCTGGGGAACCCAAGCCACTCCAGTCCCCAGCACCTACCCTATCTCGGGGCTGCTCTTCTTCAGGAGGAGGTTTCATCATGGCCAAGACCTTCGTCCCAAACTGCTGGAGGGCGGGCAGCTCCCCTTCCTCCTCCTCCTCCATCATCTCCAGGCGCTGAAATCAAAGCAGACGCCAAGATGGTGAAGCACTCACTTTCCCTGCCAGAGCAAGACGTGTCCCATCTCCCTCTTCATAGATCTGCAAGCTTCAACCAATGCTTCTCTTACCCAGCCAGTGGACTCCACCATCTTGAGGTCCACAGGGTCCCCGACAGGCTGTGCCCGCAGCAGCGAGACGGCATGGCAGGTGGCCAGCGAGTAGAGCAGGGGGCCAGCAGGCAAGCAGCGGGGCTCATGGACAATGGGCATGAAGTAGTTGTCCTCCAGCGGGACCACTCCCCAGACGTCCAAGCCTTCCTCCGTCAGGGTGCCTGTCTGTGGGGAGAGCACACGGTGGGGGTGTCCAGCCCCACCTCATCCCAAATTGGGGACCGCGGTGCCATGGCATTGCTCGAGACCCACCTTGTCGAAGCAAACCAGGCGGATCTTTCCGCAGAGGTTGACGCGGGGGGGGCTGATGCAGAAGATGCCCCGTTTCTTCAGCCTGTTCTGGGCGTAAATGGTGCCCACCGTCATGGCAGCCGGCAGAGCTGGGGGCACGATGACAGTGACCAGGTCCAGGGCACGGATGATGATTTGCCCCATGGGGACCTGATGGGTGAGGAGGAAGAGGGGTGGGCGTCCTGACAGCCCTCACCCATCGTCACTTGGAGCCTGTGAATCCAACCCTACCTGGTTTTTGACCAAGATGAGGATGCTGTAGAGCGTGCCCACCAAAGCTGTGCGGGAGAAGGGGGCTTGGTTACAAAGCAAAGTGGACAAAGGTTGGGTTCAACCATTTCAGAGGAGTTTGGCTGCTCCTGGCCATGCCTCCATGCTCAGACGTACCCAGGATGGCAAGGAAGAGGACAAACTTCACAGCGTCCTTGTAGAACTTGAAGCTGACGGGTTTGGGGTAGAGGATGGAGCTGATGAGATCACCCTTGGCTGTGCAAAACCCTGCGGGAGAGGGGCAGAAGGTCAGCGCGGGCAAAGTCACCGCTCCAAGGGACATGGTTTAATCCTGGTGACATTACCTGTGCGGGTCACCACGGCCAGCACGTCCCTGCCCACGTAGGACTTGGCTTGGATGACCTGTGTCCCGCAGAAGAGCGTGTGCCGCCGGTGCTCCTCTGGGGAATAGATGGTGTTGGCTGCTTGGCTGCCGCCCGGGAGAGGGGTCTTCATCACCGGCACACTCTCCCCTGCGGTGAGGAACAGCATGGAGGGAGGTTTAGCGCCTTGAGAGGGCAGCATCCAACCGGCCTGGATGGGAAAGGGCTGCTGAAGCGCCACTGAGGTACCAGGCTCAATGTCTCTCCCCAAAATCCACGGCGGGGCTCTCACCTGTCAGCATGCTCTCGTTGACCATGCACTCGCCCGTCAGCAGTGCGGCGTCGCAAGGGACCAGCATCCCATCCGCGGGGAGGCTGATGCAATCACCCGGCACCAGCTCCACGGAGCTCACCACCATCTCCTCTGGAAAAAAACCCAGCTGCACTCAGACACAGCATCCCGGTGCCATCCCAAATGGCTTCAGGCTTGGAGCCCTTGCTCATCACAGTATGGGTTGGGTTGGAAAGGACCTCAAAGCTCACCCGGTCTAACCCCATGGGCAGGGACACCCCCCCACGAGCCCCGGCTGCTCAAAGCCCCATCCAGTCTGGCCTTGGGCACTGCCAGGGATGGGGCATCCACAGCTTCATCACCGGCATCGCACTCACCTCCACCGGGGCGATGGACTCGCACCCCCACTGACATCTTGGCCATGTTTTGGAGCGTGGTTCTTTGCTGCAAGGAAGGGAGCAGTTAGCAGCCACCCGAGGGCAGCTCAAAACAGCAAAGCATCCATAAAGCAATCCCCAAAATCTCAGGATCTCATCTGAAGGATGAGGAAACCTGTCCCATCACTAGGGTATGGGTTGTCCTCACCCAGCTGGGCTCAGCACCAGCAGAAAAGGGGCTTTTCCAGTAGAGCTGCTGGTCCCCAAATGAGCCCACCACCAACCTTCCTGGTCTCATAGAGGGACAGCCCCAAGGAGATGGTGGAGATCAGGAAGATGCAGGCGGCATAGTAGTAATAGGCATCGCAGACCCACAGCACGATGCTGAACACTTGGAAGATGTAGAAGGGGTTGAGCACCTGGGAGGGAATAAGGAGAAGGAGCAGATTTTGGGGGAAAAGAGGATGGGTCTCCCCCCAGCTCCACCAGCTCTGCCCAAGCTGCTTCTCATAAAATCCTCTCCTCCCGGTGAGAAAGGGCCCACGAAGAGAGAGTACATGGAGCAGGGGAAGGATCTGCCCCAGGATAACAGGGGTTTTGGGAGCACAGCCCGTAGATGCACACCTCGTCCACCAACAGCCTGGCGTAGGACTTGACGGGCACCTCGATGAGGTTGGCTCCGTAGATCTTCCTCCTGCAAAAAGGGGAAGAAAAAGCAAGGGGAAAGCAAATGCATGGTAGGAAAGAGTTGCATTTCCAACTTGAGGGACCTTCATGCTGCCCAGTTCTCCACAAAAACCTGGTTATGTGGAAAAGCCAAACCAGGGCATCCCAGCACTGCCAGCAATCCTCTGTTTTGTGGTCTGGGTGCAAGAAAAATCCCACTCTGGGATTTTCTGGCCCCTGGAGAAGCCCCATCTGTGCTCCCTGGGTGTCCCACAAAGCCCCCTACTTGGTGCTGTGGTCCTGCTGGTGGAGCCCAGCCTGAGCGAGGTGGAGATCTGCGCAGGTCCAGCCTTCGTCCAAGACACTGGCAAGGCCAAGGGGGAAGAAAAAAAGGGAGAAACCGAGTCAAAACCAGCAGAAGCCTGGCCTGGGAGAGCAAAAACTGCGTCCAAGTCTGCGGTGACAACAAAATAAAACCCTTTGGGAGAGCGTCTTGTTCCTCTGCATCCGCTGCAGCTTGCGGGTGCCAGGGAGAGGGAACAAAAGGGACACAGTTTGGAGGGAGGGGACACCATCCAGCACTGAGGAGCTGCCAAACCACTTTGCCCAGTTTCCCCTGCCCACAGAGACATCAACAACCCGGGGGCAGAGGCAGCATCCTTGACCCAACGCCATGGGGATGGTCCCCAGAGGCTTTGCGGCGTGGAGGAAAGTTAGGAGGCTCTGGGCCTGGACTGTTTTTGGGGGGGGTCGAGTGGTGGGGAGATGCGGAGGAGTTTGTTGTGGCAGGAGGGGATGGGGAAATACCTGACTTTGCAGTAGGCCTGCCGCCGCTCGATCCAGATGTAGCGCATGCCCTCGAAGAGGTAATACCGCAGGACATTCTTCTGAGCAGAGCAGGAGGGAAAGACTGGGTGTTGGTGGGACATGAGGGGGGCCCATGCCAAGGGAGGCGGTTTTTAGGGTGGCGGGGGTGTCACCAGTGTCACCTCTTCCTTCTCGTGGAGGCGGACGGTGTCGCGGCTCTCCTCCTCATCCGTCACGCCAACGGCGATGCTGGTCCTGCGGTCCTCCAGCCGGCCCCCGGGGTGATGCTCCAGGCTGCTCAGGGGAGAAAGCAGTGGCTTGGTCCCTCCTCATC